TCCTCTCAACCACCTTTTTATTTATCCAACAAATATTTATCGAGCACCAGTTCTGCTCTATAGGCCTTGTTCTGGGTGCTGGGGACACAGCAATGAATAGACAGGATGATGTGGCCAGCCCTCCTGGAGCCGATGGCTTGGGGATGCAGACATTGCTCTCTCCCTCACACACTCACACTGACCCACAGCTCCGTGGCTGCCAGCGGGAAGAGGGAACCGCAGGGGACCTGGTTTAGGCCCAGTGTCCTGGGAAGGCTGCCCTGAGGCAGTGACATCTGAGCAGAGGTCTCAAGAAAAAGCAGACACTAGCTGGTAGCAGACCGATGAGGAGAAAGGATTCGGAAAGAACGTGAATAAAGTTCCCATGGTGAGAGGGACATGGAGCTCTGGAGGAAGAAGTCGGCCAGCGTGGCTGGAGGGGCGTGTGCAAGGGGGACGTGGGAGGAGGCCACCTCGGCAGGGAGCAGGTTGCGGTTCCGAGCGCCCACTGGCTGTGTGGGGAAGGCGATGGGGAGACCTCCGCTGTTTCCTGGGGCAGCAGGTGGTGACGGAGGCCTGGACTGAGGTCAGTCCAGATGGAACGAAGAGGACGGATTCAAGAGACCTTTAGGCAGCGCGTGGGCCCGTCTGACAGATGTGAAAACCGAGGCTCCGAAATCACAGAGCTCGGACTGGGCGTCTCCTCCCCGGGCTGCTCAGCCTCCTCCCAGTCACTGTGGCTTCTGATCTCAGTTTAGCTCATCCCCAGACCCAGGCCTTCAAAACCACTTATACACCAAAGCCTCCAGACCTCATCCCTCCCCCAGAAAACCTGACTCAGCTCCAGGTTTAGCCTGCTGGACATCTCCATGTCATTTCCAGTAGGCACCTCAAAGTTACTGGTCCAGAATGGAGTCACTGATTCCACCCACCCAGGCCTCTCCTCATTGCCCCCTGAGCCTTTTCACCTCATTTGAATGGCTCTTGTCTCCCGCTGCTCAGCCAGACCTCGAGTGCTGGTGTTTCAGACAGCAGTTGGCAAGAGCTTCTGGGGAAGAAGGGACACCAGCACCCCCTAGGACTGCCTGACACCTTGGGACTCCTTAGCATGGCGCCCCGTGATACTGAGACCTCCCCCAATCTCTGCTCCTCTGCAGGAGCTGGCAGACCTGAAGCATGTGCATGGCAAGCTGAAGAAACAGTTCCAGGAGAAGGTGGCAGAGTTGGCACACGCCAACCGGCGGGTGGAGCAACACGAGGCAGAGGTGAAGAAGCTGCGGCTGCGGGTGGAGGAGCTCAAGAAGGAGCTGGCCCAGGCCGAGGACGAGGTGAGCACCCACTGGGACCCAAAGGGCAGCCTTTGGACCCCGGCTGGTGTAGGAGGGGGCTGTGGGGCCTTCCCGTGTTGGTCCCTGGTGGGTTCCCAGCGCCTGAGTCTCAGGAGGTGCCCAGGGTAGAGTGGTAGGCGGGCGGGCAATGGATGGATGGTAGGTAGGTGTGTGGGTAGGAAGGTAGGAAGAAAAATGGACAGATGAGATAGACGGATGGTGAATAGATTCATGGATGGACGGGCAGGTGGATACGTAGGTGGTTAAATGGAGGGACAAGGATAACTCCATGGATGGATGAACAGATGGATGAGGGAATCGATGGACAGACGGATGGGAGAGGGAGAGAGGGAAGGAGGGAGGGAGGATGAACGGATGCGATGTCACTACAGGTATATGATAGCTGGGTGGGTGGGGGGATGGATGAGTATAGGGATATATGGAAAGGTGGATGACTGAGCAGACAGTGGAAATATGGGTAGACAGCAGCCGCATCACTGGGTAGAAAAACAAATGGACGGGGAAGAAGGTCAGAAGGATGGGTAGATGGGAAGGTAGGTGTGTCTGGGAGAGCGGAAGGACACGTGGACAGACAGGGTGAATGGGGGGCTGAATAGGTTAATGAATGGCGAGCGGGGAAGTGGGTATCTCATGGGCAGATGGATATTTCCGTGGGGGAATGGTCAGATGGACAGATTGATAGGGATAAACGGGGATGTGGGTTGATGGATAGATCAGTAGCTTGGGGCGTTGGAGGACAGGGAGCTTTAGACAGAGGGGCAACGGGCATGGGGAGGAGCTAAGGGATACTTCCCTGGAGGAGCTGGGTCTTGCTCCAGGCCCCAGAGGAGACAGACTGTTCTCTGGGGAGGACATTCCCCCAGAGGAGTGGTGGGAGTGGCTGGCCCTAGGTAGATGGCAGGCCATGCTGGCCCATAGCCCAACGTGACCCCCATACTGTTGGCCCTGCTCACCCCCCAGCTGGACGAGGCCCACAACCAGGCACGTAAGCTGCAGCGGTCGCTGGACGAGCAGACGGAGCAGAGTGAGAACCTGCAGGTGCAGCTGGAGCATCTGCAGTCCAGGTGGGCCCCAGTGCGCACCCCAGGTGGGGGGACCGGGGTTCCAGCGGGGAGAGAATTCCTGGCCAGGGCACAGAGACAGGGCAGAGAGACTTCCAGCCCACGGCCTTGGCAGGGTTGGAGCCCAGGCTAGAGGGGAAGACAGAAAAGGAAGAGGGCCGGCCGCCCTGCGGCCAGAATCCTGTCCCTCTGAGCAGGAAGGGCCAGGTCCAGGAAGCCAGGGAAGGGGAGTGCAGGAAACGAGACCAGCTGGGAACCTGGAATTGTCTCCTGTGGCCAGAGAGCAGGAAGGGTGGCCACAGAGGTCAGGGCCAAGGTGGGGGCAACGAGGAGGGCCCCCCGGGCCTGGGGAGCCATGATAAGAAGAATAAGCAGCCTCCAGGATCCCTGGGCTGGGGTGATCCCAGGCCAGCTGGGATCACAGGAATTGGAGGATCCCTGGCCCCAGCGGCAGGCCACACCCCTCAGCTGCACCCAGAACCCATCAGCCTCGGTAAGAGAGGACCTCAGGGACTCAGGGGGACCCACCAGCACACTCTGCATCTCTCCCCTGCCTCCCCCATCCCAACACCCTGTGAACTGCACGTTCTCCCTGACTCCCCTTAGGGCCGTGAGATGTCAGAGAACATCAAATCCAATTCCCTCCCCATTTCGCAAGCCCCCCACCTGAGGGGGCATCAGCACCTGCTCACTCTTCCTGGGCCAAGCCCTTACTCGCACCCTCTTATTTCACAGAACAGAGGGAGCCTGGGCTCTGCAGCCAGACGGCCTACGTGGTGGGAATCCTGGCTCTGTGCTTTGTAGCTGTGTGGTCTTGGGCCACTTGCTTGCCCTCTCTGTGTCAGTTTCCTCATCTATAAAATAGGGATGATAACAGTTCTTATCTCTTGGTGGTTGTGAGAATTAATTGAGCAGATACATGTTTACAGAAGTACCTGGCACATTATAAACGCTGAATAACTGAGCTGCTGCCGCCGCTGCCATTGCAACTACCCCTGGGTGTGTGGGGGGGTGCTTATATATGGGTCACGTATTGTGCTGTAAGACCAATCAGCGCTCCCATGAGAGGAGGGAAGGGAAAGATATTTTTTTCTGGGGGGCTGGCAGATGAAACTAAGGCACAAGAGGCTAAGTCCTTCCATGGCCGCACAGCTGGTGGGTGGTCGGGCCAGATAGTTCCTCCTCCCAGCCATCTGCCATCGGAGCCCTTATTTACTAAGCACGTACTATGTGCTGCTGTGTGCTGAGTTTCTGTGAGGTGTACAGGCTATGAAGCGAGACCTAAAGCCCTGTGACATGGCCAGCCGAGCCTCAGTACCCCCATCTCCCTGGCAGTGTTGTGCAAAGGCCCAGGCATGAGTCTAAGTCAGGCTATGTCTGGCCAACTCTACCCACTCTGCCTCACCCTACACACACACCCCATAAAAGGCCACCTAGCCCCAGGGCTTCCTGGCCATCGCGGCCGCATTCTTCCGTAGCCATAAACTCCCAAATGGAGGGGCGGGCTCTGCCCAGCCTCCGTAGGAGAGGGCGCAGCTGCAGCCGGCCAGGACCTCTGCTTCGTTTTCTTCTCCAACTTTTTGTGCTTTAATGTTCCGGGGACAGCGCACTAAATCACAGCACAGTAATGGAGGCTCCCGCCCGCGCCCCTCCCTGCCATGTTAATAATTCATGCTTTCCAGTAAGATGCCGCCAAGCGCCTCTCTGCTGGGGGATGGGCCGGCATCGCCTCGGCTCTTCTCAGGGTGCAAGTTCGCCCTGTACATTTAGGAACTTTAATGGGGGGAGGGAGTAACACATAGCATTTTCTCACCGATACTGGGGGTGTAGGGGACTCAGGCCCTCCCACCCCAAACTCTCTCCCCGTAGTCTTTGGAGCCTGGCTTGGGTTCGAATCCCAGCAGCTGCTCACCTTTCCAAGCCCCTGGCCCACTCTCGCCCATCCAGAGCCCCCCACTACAGTTCAAGCCCAGCCCCACCCCCTACTGTCCGTGGGACGTCGAGCAAATTACTCGGCTGCTTTGTGCTTTGGTTTCCTTTTCAGTTAAATGGGGGTGACAGTAGCACCTCCGTCATTTCAGAGGCTTCTGGGAGGGTGATGTATGATGAGGTGATGTATGTAAAAGGCCCCACCCAGTGCCCGGCAGTGGGGACGTCCCTGGAAGGCTTCGCTGCTGTCAGCACCAGCTGATTAGACTCTGGCCCTGACCCTGGCGTCACCCCACCCCACAGGCTCCGCAGGCAGCAGCAGAACGCCCCCCTCTTCGGGAAGATCCGCAGCGCTCGCTTTGGCACTGAGGAGGCTGGGGATGGAGCCAGCGACCTGGATGAGGACGAGGACCTGCAGATACAGGTGGCCTAGAGCCCCCAGGGCTGGCAGGACTGGCCCTCAGCCACAGGCCCCCTGCATGCCCAGGCTGACCAGCCAGATGAACTGATGCAGGTGCCTGTGCTCGCTCTGGGAGTGACCCGGCTCCTTGCCATGGACAATTTCTTTCTTTCCCAGGGTGGGTGTCGATGGTCCCCCGCCCCCCCCATCAACGCTCTGTGGAAGGGAAGCCACGGCCTATGTTTTATATATATATATATAT